CTTGGGCAAAAGCTAAGGGCTTAAAGGGAATTGCATGATATGAAAGTTTAAATATTTGCATACTTTCTTTAAGCAAAAAAAAGTATGATGTATGTGAAAATGCAACAGATATGGCTCGTAGAACGGCTAGGGCATATAGAGAAGCATTGAACTGTAGAATTGCTATCCATTCCTATGAAAACTATGTAACTGATCCGACTCGTCCGCTTAGCGAACATGTGTATGACATCTATGAGAGATGCATGACGATGGTTAATGCTGGAATGGAGATCACGCATATTGAGGTCATAAATAACCTCACACACTCCCTCTCACATCAATGGGGAAATATGGGAGTCACGATTAGAGATGAAATGTTAGAAGGCAACCCAAACCTGTTCGAGTTTGAGAGGTATTGCCATGCCTTAATTGATTTGTGGGATGATATATTCCATGAGGAGCCTGGGGAGGAACTTTTGGCTGAGGAAGAAGATCCCGAAGAAGAACCCGAGGATGATTTAGAGAATGATTCTGAGCCTAAGCCACAGGTTGAGATGGACATAGAGTCCGGACCTGAGGCGGAAGACTCCTCCGAAAATGAAGCTCCACCAAAGAAGATCCGTAGAACTTATAGGGATTAGATTTAAATCCTTGTAATAGCTTCCCTTATGTCAAGAAATAAAATACTATCTTCTTTGCTTTAGTATTCAAAGAATGAAACTAATAAGAACCATATGTTTTGTCTAAAGGAAATGGCCCGTGCAAACCAAAACTTGATAAGAGACCTTCTCCGAGCGGTTCAAGACCTAGGTAGGCAAAACCCGAACCAGGCTCAACCCCTACCACTAGCTCCTAATGTTCCAAACCATGCTTCAGTGGTTGAGCAATTTCGAAGGTACAAGCCCTCTACCTTCAACGGAGTAGCTGATCCACTTGCAGTCGAGGAGTGGCTTCGCAAGTTGGAACGTATATTCCGATTGATAGGGTGCACGGACGCTCAGAAAGTCCAGTGTGCTGAGTTCATGTTCTCCGGTGATGCAAGTCACTGGTGGGACTCAATGGCAAGAACAAGGACCCCTGAGCAACAAGCAGAATTGACTTGGGAGCAATTCAAAGGGGAAGTAATGGACAAGTATTTTCCCCAGTCCTTGAGGGATCATAAAGAAAGTGAATTTCTC